TCTGTCCCCTTCTCTCAGTGCTCACCGCTGCTTCTCATCTTGACTTGCACTTAAAACCGAGCTCTCGTATTGCCCAAAATCATGAACTTCTCTGTGCTGTCAGATAGAATGTATTATCAAATGCAGAGCGATCCTTGGCCCTCAAAAGCATTTCATCGGATGTAGTTTTGAAAAGCAAAGTTGGTTTCAATTATGATATCATACCCCATATATATTCAGGAAGAAGAATATAAAATCTCAGAACAAAGAAAGGATAATTTTTTAACATGTTACACGATCCGGCGTACAGTCCTAAGAACAGCTCACACGTTCCAGTGTTTCTCTCCCTACAAAGCCCTCTACCCCCAGTGCCCTGTTCACCCTCCAAGCGGCCCAGTGAAGGGGGCTTGTCCGCATTGGCTAGATGAGGACACTGAGGCTCAGGCTTTTTCTGGTTAAGTCAAGATCACCACTTAGAGGGACTCAGAATTTGGATTCAAACCAAGGGTGTTTGACTCTACACCTAGGGTGTTCTCCACTCTTTTGCATCTATAATAGGCCCTTTTTGCTACATATATATATATTTTTTATGCCAAATATGTTTTTATAAGTGCTGGAAAACTGTTGTGTCAATTTCGAGTGTGGCCTCCATTAGGTGCCAAGTCACAGCACCTTAGAGGGGATGTCGATCAGCAGTGACGCTGGACGTGCCTGAAAGGTAGCTGGGCGATGCCGTAACTCTCCTGGGCTCCGCGAAGTCCATTCGCTTCTGTGCGTCCAGTTTCTTGAAACTGGGGATGATCACTCTGATGCTGAGCGTTGCCATGGCGTGGGTACTTCATGTGGAATTCAAGCCAACGTAGGACCGTAGTGAACCTCATCAAGAGATTGATTCCCAGACTTCTGGAAGGTCCCTGGTAGAAACTGCCATCCTAGGGTCCAGGATACCAGCGTCCCGGGCAATTATTTGTTACATGTAAAATATCTCACAGGTAATCCTACCCATTTGGTAGAGTGTTCCCACTGATCATTAACTATATGGACAGGGTGGAGCAAAAATAGGATTCCGGTTGTGAGTACACGAAATGCAGAGTTTATTCCTGTATTATTATGTATTAATTATTGTATTATTTTCCATACTCACAGCTATAAACCTACTTTTGCCCCACCCTTTATTTCTGAGACTTAGAGGATTGGAGCATAGTCATACGGTGAAGGTGCAGCAGAGTTGATGGGGAAGAGGAGTGGAGGTAACCCTGGGGTGAGTGAACGGGTTCCATCTCGATGGTGCCACCTGATCCCACGCAAACCAGGAGAGTCAAGATGCATTTCCCAAGCTTTCTTCTTCGAACACTAGTTTCTGCCTGCAGGAAATGCATTGAGGTGATGAGTGTGCGTGTACGTGTGTGTGTGTGTGTGTGTGAGAGAGAGAGAGAGAGAGACAGAGAGAGAGGGGTCCCTCACCCCCTCAGGGTTCTTCCTAAAGTTGGATGTCTTTTCTGTGTCCGCTGGGACAGCAGGGGTTTTCTCCAGGTGTCGGACAAGCAATATGTTCTCTTATATTCTGAGAGGCATTAAATCCAAACACTATTTTGATTTCCTGTATATATTACACATGTAAAAAATTTCCTAACGGAAGTAAATTTTATTTTATTGCCGCAGGTCAACTCACCTGCTCTCACCTTTACCTTATCTTCATGAGGTATCTCCCAACCACACCACCCCTTCAGAGTAGTAAGTGTGAGCAAGACATGCAATCTGAGCGCGCCGGTCATTCATTAAATGTTTGTCGGGCTGAAGTTAAAAATAAGACTTCTCAATTTTAGGGTGGTGGCTGCTCAAGTACCTGTCTGTCACTGTGATAGAAGAGGTGCTTTGCCCAGCTCCCAGCTGCAGACTGGAATCCTGGCTGATGGTCTTTTCCCATCGAGTTTTCTCGTTTTACCTGCAACACTCAGTGTTTGCTATTTGAAAGTGGCCCACTGGGACCAGTCTCTCTCTCTCTCCATGCCTTCCTACTTGGACTCACTGAGATTTGACTCCATGTATATTTTCTTACATTTTCTCTAAGACTCTATGGATTAGTGTAGGACAGTGAGATTCACCACTACGGCTGTATTTGCTCCTTTCTGCCCCAGGGCCCTGGATTGGATTGGCAGGGACGGTTTTCTAGTCAAGCTCGGCCACCTTCCAAGCTGTGGGTGGCCCAGGGCTGGAGACCTGCAAGCTGGCGGTTTCCCCAAAGTGTGATAGTGAGGTCAGCGAGCGACAGCGTGTCCAGCTTGTTGGGGGCCTGTGTCTTTGTAGTGGTCAGTTCATGGACTGCGGAGCTGAGACGAGGGCTGAGAGAGCCTCACTTGGGGGAAAGGGAGGGAGGGAGGCAGAGGCCCTCCGCCCGTCTGTCTTTGCCGTCTCTTCGGAGGTCAAACAAATGACAGGCACCATCCCTTCAGTAGGAGAAGAGAGCCCAGGAGCTGTGTTCCTCACTAGGAGGCCGGTGAATCCCACAGGGTCTCTGTGGGTGTTGACAGTGGGCACCGGGACTGCTTTGCCTTTCTTTTTTTTTGTCTCGAAAGGGAAATTGTTTTGGTTAACCAGAATTTACATAGCCTCTTATGAAAACAAAACCCAAAGCACCATAATGGCTATTAGGCTTAGTCTTTCCTCTCCGAGAAATGAAAGTGTTTTGAGCCAAAAAAAAAAAAAAAGAGAGAGAAAATTCACAAGCTAGGAAATAAGTCCCATCCTGTCTTTAATACATAACTGTTTGTAGAGATCTCGTTCTATAGAACATTCCTTTTCCAAGTGATGAGTCCCAAAAGGATGTGTTTCCCCCCAGATTTCAAGGTCTAAATGTCAGGTGGTCTTTTGAATACCTATTTCAGCTATGGAGAGACATACAGGGCGGAGCAAAAGTAGGTTTATAGTTGTTTGTATGGAAAATAATACAATAATAAGTAATAATATAAGAATAAACTCTGTTTTGCGTATGCACAATGGTAAACCTACTTTTGCCCCACCCTGTATATAAATATATACTTAAATAATGAGACTTTTCCTAGGGAAACTTCCAGTCCCTCTTAGGGACAAAGAACTCCCTGTCGGTGAGTTGGTGGAGACTTTTTAATTAATTTAGTCTTCAGTGCTTCGGAGAGGGGGAGGCAGCAGGGCCGGTGGGAAGAGGCTGAGGTGCCAGGTGTAGGGGAGGGTATTGAGTGAGGGTGAGAGTGACGCTCAGCTGTGAACACAGACGTCTACAGTGTGGGCTGAGCCTGGAGTCGAACATGAATCACTGCGAGCTCCACCCGCTGCCCGGGCCGTGGGCCCTGAAGCAGCTTTTCCATCGCCTCTGATTCAGAAATAAAACAGGCCCGAGAATTACCCCCGAGCTCTCCAGACAATCCCCTCCTTGTCTCAGCTCCTAAAAATACCTTTTGTGGTGACTTACCTCCATTCACGCTATAAAACTTGATTAGGCGTTTGTTCGGGCGATTAGGACCAAGGGTGTGCTTTCAGGATTCTTAGGGAGAAAAGCACGTGAGAAGGGAGTTTTTGTGCTCGGGGTTGAGCCAGGCCTGGAATGCCTGCCCGGCAGCCTCCTGTGAGCCCCCTCCCGGCTGACCTCCTGGGCTCGTAGGGTCGAGCCGCCAAAGAAACCTTTGTATTGCTCCCCTGCAGCTTCATCCCGTGAAAGCACCCGACGAACTACAGGACGCACGTGAAGACGGTGACATTCTAATAAACAGGAAGGGGCCGGAGACAGCATGGGAGCTGCCAGGAGCTTGCTGACCCACATAGGAATTGGGGGTGACGTGGGTTGGGGTGTCCTGGGGCAGAGTGTGGGGAGAGGGGCTTTAGCCATGCAGCCCCAGCCACTATGACAATAGGGACACTCTCGTATCCCCAATACCTGGACAGTTCCTGGCANACATTCTAATAAACAGGAAGGGGCCGGAGACGGCATGGGAGCTGCCAGGAGCTTGCTGACCCACATAGGAATTGGGGGTGACGTGGGTTGGGGTGTCCTGGGGCAGAGTGTGGGGAGAGGGGCTTTAGCCATGCAGCCCCAGCCACTATGACAATAGGGACACTCTCGTATCCCCAACACCTGGACAGTTCCTGGCAGACGGCCTTGCTCTATAAACACTTGTTAAGTGAAAATGAATCGACAAGGGCCAGGGCCAGATGGCCGAGGCCAATCCGGGGAGTGTGAACTGATCGGAAGGCGCCACGGGTCAAGGAAGGGCTGGGCTGCACATGGCCGGCGTGGGTTTGTATTTGGGGATCACTCGGACGTCAGCCTGGGGCCCCCCGCCGGCGTGTGGTGGGCAGCAGGGCGGCGGCGAACTGTCCCCAGG